ACTAGATTTCTGTGGTCTTTGTTTGTCCATAGTCAAGTGAATAGAAAACTTAAATAGATTTAGTGATGCAAAATGAAAATAAAACTTAAAACACCAAAAGAGAACTATGACAAAGCAAAGGCTAATACAAACATAGAGATTTATACAAATTATAAAAGATTAAGTCTTTGTTTATTCAATTTAAACCATAGATTAAGGAGGTGTTATTGGATTAGTATTTTTAATGTATTTTAAAATCAGAATGAAATCCGTGTTATTCAATTGTGTATTTGATATAAATACATTAAAATTCTCTGTTATTGGATTAAGTATTTGTTTAGTGTATTTTAAAATATAATAAAAACAACTGTTATTCAATAAACCATTGATTTTAGGGGATTTTGGTTATATTGGATTTTGATGTATTTTTTTCCATGAAACATGAACAAAACAAATACACGATTGTAATCTCATATTTTGATGAATTTCAGATAAAAGCAAAAACTAAAGAAAATATTTCCAAATTTTTTATGTTTTCTCCGTGACTGGATCCATGATTTTCCTCTGAAACTCAAGCGATGATCTGTTGAAATTTTGATAAATTTAGAACGATCCATGAATTTCTTGTAACTAATCTGGCTAAACAATTATTTACCCTCTTCGTAGACCTAGCACTGGAAAATTTCATATCCGTGAATACTCTCATGTAAACAAAAAAAAAGAAGAAGATTAGATATTGTTTTTAATTCAATCTGATAGAAAAATATGCTTTTCCGTAGCAAATGGTTGACTGGAACAAAAACTTGTTACCTAGCTAGATTTTCTCAACAAATATAAAAAATAGGCATATTTTAAAATCTTCAGTTTTGATCTCAAAATATTTTCCTAGCCTCCCTATATAACGTGAAAACAATAACAAGAGTAGATCACAAAACACAAAGCCAGCTTAAAAGTAATTGTTAATATCTCTTACTTAGCGTTTATATAATTGTTCGTGACAATTTTGATGTTACAATCTTCTAAATAATTGTTTTTCCATATTTTGTAGGTATTTTTCTATCACATATGATCTCAATTCTGGATTCGAAACATGTAAGTTATTGTTTTCAGTTCTCCAACTCTTTTACTATAATTCCATCAGTCATTTATCTTCTTTTGTTGTCATCACTTGTTAATAAGTTATCTAGTTTTCTGTTTGTCGTTGCATACGAGTAATCTAAACTATTACTTTGATATTTTACTGTATAATATGTCATTATTTGATGTTCTTGTCTACGTTTTCATT